ATTTTCTTCTATTGGTTCCTGAATTATTGTTTCTGCTTCATTTGCTTTGCCATCTATTTCAGGTATTCTTATTATGCGTGGATTGCAACTCTTGGAGAGATTCTGTAGATGTCTCTTCTATCTTTTCCCTATTTTTCTGCATGCTGAGTTTCTCTTGTTTTTCATTTATTTCTGTAATTCGTTTTTGTGACTGACCGGGTTTGCACGTTTCCATTCGTTTTCAACTCTCTTATACTTTTCCAAGTGCTCTGACAGTAGCCTCTTTATCTTCGAGCATAGGTCTGTAAGCTCCTGTACCATATGATGGTCCATCTTTAAAACCTCTTCAGTTTCCACTTCTGTATCCGTTTCAAGAGGCGGCATTTTCTCAATTGTAAGCAGTTTCTGCTGAACTCAGGTATTACGACGTTTTGAACAGCGCTTCTTAGTAATCTGACCAAAAGTGACGATTAGAGAATGCCGTCTGTCTGAAAACCAAATGAAAGATAACTGTCCTATGAGTTTTTAACTTTGGTTATTGCATAATTCAGTTCTATATTTTCCATTTGGTTCATTTGTAGATCTTCTATTTCTTTGCTAATATTTTCTGTTTTTCATTTGTTTTAAGAATGGTCATAATTATTCACTTTTGACTGAGGCACTTTTTATGATCATTGCTTTATTTATTTTTAAAATTTTATTTTTTATTTTTTAAAATTTACATCTAAATTAGTTGGCATATAGTGCAACAATGATTTCAGGAGATTCCTTAATGCCCCTTACCCATTTAGCCCATCCCCCCTCCCACAACCCCTCCAGTAACCCTCAGTTTGTTCTCCATATTTATGAGTCTCTTCTGTTTTGTCCCCCTCCCTGTTTTTATATTACTTTTGCTTCCCTTCCCTTATGTTCATCTGTTTTGTCTCTTAAAGTCCTCATATGAGTGAAGTCATATGATTTTTGTCTTTCTCTGACTAATTTCACTTAGCATAATACCCTCCAGTTCCATCCACATAGTTGCAAATCGCAAGACTTCATTCTTTTTGATTGCCGAGTAATACTCCATTGGATATATATCTATACCACATCTTCTTTATCCATTCACCCATCAATGGACATTTGGGCTCTTTCCATACTTTGGTTATTGTTGATAGTGCTGCTATAAGCATGGGGGTGCATGTGACCCTTCAAAACAGCACACCTGTATCCCTTGGATAAATGCCTCATAGGGCAATTGCTGGGTTGTAGGGTAGTTCTATTTTTAGTTTTTTGAGGAACCTCCATACTGTTTTCCAGAGTGGCTGCACCAGCTTGCATTCCCACCAATAATGCAAAAGAGAGCCTCTTTCTCCACATCCTCGCTAACCTCTGTTGTTGCCTGAGTTGCTAATGTTAGCCATTCTGACAGGTGTGAGGTGGTATCTCATTGTGGTTTTGATTTGTATTTCCCTGATGATCAGTGATGCTGAGCATTTTTTCATGTGTCAGTTGGCCATCTGGATGTCTTCTTTGGAGAAGTGTCTATTCATGTCTCTTGCCCATTTCTTCACTGGATTATTTGTTTTTTGGGTGTTGAGTTTGAAAAGTTCTCTATAGATTTTGGATCCTAACCCTATATCTGATATGCCATTTGCAAATATCTTCTCCCATTCTGTTGGTTGCCTTTTAGTTTTGTTGATCGTTTCCTTCTCTGTGCAGAAGCTTTTTATTTTGATGAGGTCCCAGTAGTTCATTTTTGCTTTTGTTTCCCTTGCCTCTGGAGACGTGTTGAGTAAGAAGTTGCTGCGGCCAAGATCAAAGAGGTTTTTGCCTGCTTTCTCCTCAAGGATTTTGATGGCTTCCTGTCTTACATTGAGGTCTTTCATCCATTTGAGTTTATTTTTGTGTATGGTGTAAGAAAGTGGTCCAGGTTCATTCTTCTGCATGTCGCTGTCCAGTTTTCCCAGCACCACTTGCTGAAGAGACTGTCTGTATCCCATTGGATATTCTTTTCCTGCTTTGTCAAAGATTAGTTGGCCAAACATTGGTGAGTCTATTTCTGGGTTCTCTATTCTGTTCCATTGATCTGAGTGTCTGTGCCAGTACCATACTGTTTTGATGGTTACAGCTTTATAGTATAGCTTGAAGTCTGGGATTGTGATGCCTCCTGCTTTGGTTTTCTTTTTCAAGATTGCTTTGGCTATTCGGGGTCTTTTCTGGTTCCATACAAATTTTAGGATTATTTATTTTAGCTCTGTGAAGAATGCTGGTGTCATTTTGATAGGGATTGCATTGAATATGTAGATTGCTTTGGGTAGTATAGACATTTAACAATATTCTTCCTTTCCAGGAGCATGGACTCTTTTTCCATTTTTTGTGTCTTCTTCAATTTCTTTCACAAGCTTTCTATAGTTTTCAGCATATAGATTTTTCACCTCTTTGGTTAGATTTATTCCTAGGTATTTTATGGTTTTTTTGCGCAACTATAAATGGGATCGATTCCTTGATTTCTCTTTCTGTTGCTTCATTGTTGGTGTATAGGAATGCAACCGATTTCTGTGCGTTGATTTTATATCCTGCAACTTTGCTGAATTCATTTATGATCATTGCTTTAAAATGTTCATCAGGTAATTTCTACATCTGAGTCATCTTGGTGTTGTCATTTCTTGATTGATTTTTCTCCTTCAAGTTGTGACTTCCCTGGTTCTTGGTAGGATGAGCGATTTTTTTAATTGTATCCTGGTAATTTTGGGTATTATGACATGACACTCTGGATCTTATTTAATCTGTGTAGCAGGAAGTCATGCTTTTTTGTTTTAGCAGCAGGCATGGGTGGAGATGGAAGTTCAGCATCCTGCTAGGCCCCATGTGAAAGCAGAGGGTCAACTAGGTGCCTGGTAGGGGTGGTATTTCAGCTTCTTGCTGTTATCAACTGACACCAGTGCTGGGGTGCAGAGGAGTGGAGCTCTGACCAGCCCTGCCTTATCGCACCTGTTTCGCTTTGTTGCTGACAGGTAGGGTTGAAAACTCAGCTCCTTCATGGCTCTGCTGCTGTTACCCCAGCAAATGTAGGGCACCAACTTGTACCATTTCTTACCATCTCCCTGCCCCTGGGTAGGAGTGGAAGTTCAGCTTCCTGCTCCACCCATGTTGACACCACCTCAGTGAGGAAATCAGAGCACCGATGAGTGTGGTGTTGTTGCCATGCGGGGCTGGTAGATTAGTTGCCTGGCTCAGTCTCGCTGACTCCACTGGGAGGGCCAGGACAGTTTTTCTGTTGGGGTTTGGCTAGAGGAGGGGTAGTAAAATGGTTTCTGCTCTGCTCGGTTACCCTTCCCCTAGTCTTCTGGATAGATAGAAGGAGCAGGCCTGCGCCTGTTGGTGGTTCCAGGTTGCAGGCTTTTCCAGCGCTCTGAATGGGATATGCAGGCAGCAAAAAGAAGACTTAGGGAACTCACCACTATCTCGCTCAAATCCTGAGGACCCCAGCCAGTTCCCTTGCTTCTTTCCACCTCCAGAGTCTTCCTATGTTTGCTTGTTGGGCTATGTCCGGGGCTTTTTCACTTGAAAGAGGGAGGAATGGGAAGGGATTGGTGAATCCCTGCTTGTCTGGAACTGGAAGTCTCAGTATAGACTTTTTATTTTTATTTTATTTTTTAATTTTTTATGTTTATTTATTTCTGAGACAGAGACACAGCATGAGTGGGGGAGGGGCAGAGAGAGAGGGAGACACAGAATCTGAAACAGGCTCCAGGCTCCGAGCTGTCAGCACAGAGCCCGACGTGGGGCTCAAACTCACGGACCGCGAGATCATGACCTGAGCCGAAGTTGGTCACTCAACCGACTGAGCCACCCAGGCACCCCTCAGTATAGACTTTTTAGTTAAATTGTTGAATAACTGACTAGAGAACTAAAAAAAAAAAAGTATATCAAATCATCAAAATATTAATTAAAAAAAAACTAAAAAAATGGTGATTCTCTTTTTTCCTTTACTTCTAGATGTGCCAGGGTTCATTTCTACTGCCACAAGATGCCGAAACACATATCCATATTGCATATTTGAGTTGTTGTTTTCAAGTGTTGGTCCCTGAATTGGCTGTACCAGGACTGCCTAGGGAAGTTACTAATAATGCACATTCCTGTGTCCAACCCTTGAAGGTTTTAATGTAGTAGATCTCGGGTATAGCTGAAACATCCATATTTTTAGTGAGTTTTCTAGGTGGTTTTGATGTATATTTCATGTTCAAAATGTCTAATATTCCACATATCACCATGTGGTGTTAGGCACATATATATCATACAGTGTTTACATATTAACTTAACTATATTTCATTTCTGTACCAAGAAATCGTCACTCTTAATATCATGCCACATCCTAATCATCTCTGTATCCTAGGTACTCAGCACAGGAGTGCTAAAACTTTATAAATATTTACTGAGTGAATTAAAGAAAATAATTTTTGACTAAATAATTAAAATAGTATTAAGTATGAAATAATTTAAACAAACTTAAAAATGTTACATGGATGCCTATGAACTGTTTGGTCTGCAAAAATTTAATTACAGAAATTGAGAGTAGAAGTTTACAAACTTTTAGAGCAGTGTTACAAAGTTCTGTTAATCTAATAAAATCTTGGGCTTTGTATTGTTTAATTGTTATTTTTAATTGCAGTGAAGTGCACATAAATTTACCATCTTAGCCATGTTTAGGTGTAGAATTCAGTGGCATTAAGTACATTCATATTGTTGCACAACCATTACCACCATCCATCTCTGGAACTCTTTTCATATTGCAAAACTGAACTTCTGCACCCGGTAAACACTAATTCCCTATTCCCCCACTCTCCCAGCCCCTGGCAATCACCAGCAGCCTTGTATTTTGCATGTCTTTTTTAATTTTTAGATTTCATTTTTCCAGTAGTCTGTCAATATTCTATTTTACAAAAGTTTTAGTTTGCAACAAATTAGAAATCAAAACAAACTGGTCCGTTAGCACAGTTAGTTTGAAAAGCTCTGTGTTAGAATATTCACATTGTACTTACCAGCGGTCCTGTGTGTAGAGCATAAGTATTGCCTCGGACCACCCTTCTGTCATACATTATGTTTCCATGATGCACAGGCTCTTCAGCACTGTAAAACAGGAAATACTAAATAACTATGGTAATAGAGTGTTGGTCTATGCAAGTCAACTCATTTTTAATTGGATTTAGACTAAGATAAAAATGTTAAGAATACAGATTTTTGTTCTGACACACTCAATGACAAATGACTACCACTTATTGAATGCTTATTAGATGCCAGCCACTCCACATATTTTAATTATTGCTCACAATAAGCTTCCAGATGGGAACTATGATTCTCATTTGACAGAAGAGGAAGGAGATTGAGAAAGGAATGTGCCCGAGGTTACCTAGCTAGCAAGTGGTAGAGCTGGATTTAGGCTGCAAATCTGTTGGGCTAACTGACAAATGTGAAAATGGCCAGTGGGAAAGGGGTCTGCCTTCAAGTACTGACAATAATTTGATTGAAGGGTTGAAAGGATTCACAGAATCAGGTTTAAAAAGTAAGTCAAATTTCTCATTGTTCTTTAACCTCAAAGATATATTTTCACGGGACTTCAAGCTTAATACAAAGCTGTAACCATTAAGACAGTATGGTACTGGCACAAACAGACACTCAGATCAATGGAACAGAACAGAGAACCCAGAAATGGACCCATGAACATATGGCCAACTAATCTTTGACAAAGCAGGAAAAGAATATCCAATGGAATACAGACAGTCTCTTCAGCAAGTGGTGTGGCACAGGAAAACTGGTTGGCGACATGCAGAATGAACCTGAGACCACTTTCTTGCACCATACACAAAATAAACTCAAAATGGATGAAAGACCTCAATGAACGGAAGCCATCAAATCCTTGAGGAGAAATGGTGGGCGCGATGATGGGATTCGCGTCCGACTTCATGAGTCCCCGCGATCTCTAAGCGGTCACAGTTCAAGCCCGTCAGGAAATACAAATGATGGCTCAGGAAGCCTGAGCCCTGTTTCTGATTCTGTGTCTCCCTCTCTCTCTCCCCTCCCCCGTTCATGCTCTGTCTCTCTCTGTCCCAAAAAATAAATAAACGTTGAAAAAAAAATTAAAAAAAAAATCCTTGAGGAGAAAGCAGGCAAAAACCTCTTTGATCTTGGCAGCAGCACTGCTTACTCAACACATCTCTGGAGGCAAGGGAAACAAAAAGCAAAAAATCAACTATTGGGACCTCATCAAAATAAAAAACTTCTGCACACAACAGAAGGCTTAAAAAATAAAAGGCAATAAACAGAATGGGAGAAGGGAAATATTTACAAATGGCAGATAAAGGGTTAGGATCAAAATCATAGAGAACTTTCAAACTCAAAAAAATAAATAATCTAGTGAAGAAATGGGCAAGAATAGACACTACTCCAAAGAAAGACATCAGATGGCCAACCAACACACATGAAAAAAAATGCTCAGCATCACTAGATCATCAGGGAAGCCTGAAATCAAACAACGAGATACCACTCACCTGTCCAAGATAGCTAACAGTAACAACTCAGGTGACAACAGGGTTGGCAGGGGATGTGGAGAAAAGACTCTCTTTTGCATTGTGGGAATACAGCTGGTGCAGCCACTCTGGAAAACAGTATGGAGGCTCCTCAAAGCTGACCAGAACTACCTACAAGCAACAATTGCCTATGGGGAGGCATCTATCTAGGGATACAAAGGGGTGTGCTGTTTTGAAGGGCATGCACCCCATGCCCATAACAGCATATCAACAATAACCAAGAAATGGAAAGAGCCCGTGTCCATTGATGGTGAATGGATAAAAGATGTGTCCTATATATATATATATATATATATATATATATATATATATATATCTCCAATGGAGTATTACTGTAATGAAAAAGAATGAAATCACGCCATTTGCAATATGTGGATGGAACTGGAGGGAATTGTTCATGCTATGTGAAATTAGTCCAGAAAGGTAAAAAAAATCATGACTTCTCAACTGAGGACTTTAAGAGAACAAACAGATGGTATAGGAAGGGAAGCAAAAAGAAGTAATATAAAAAACAAGGGAGGGGACAAACAAACACAAATATGTGGAGAACAACTGAGGGGTTACTGGAGAGGTTGTGGAAAGGGAATGGGCTAAATGGGTAATGGGCGTGGGAATCTACTCCTGAAATCATTATTGCACCATATGCTAACTAACTTGGATGTAAATTAAAAAATAAATTATTAATTAAAAAAATAAAACCGTTTATCTCACATAGGCAAAAAAGAGATGTATTTTCAAATGATATGTATTTTTTATTTCATTCATTTTGAGAGAACCTGAGACAGAGTCACGCAGTGGGGTAGGGGCAGGAGAGTAGAAATTCTGAGGAAGTAGTAGGGTAGAAGCAGGCTCCAGGCTCTGAGCTGTCAGCATAAAGCCTGATGCAGGGCTCGAACTCATGAACCGTGAGATCATGACCTGAGCTGAAGTCAGACACTTAACTGACTGCTTAACTGACTGAGCCACCCAGGTGTCCCACAAATGATATTGTTTTAAATGTTAATAAAATTTTAATCTGGGGGATCAGAATATCAATAGTGAATAGTGAAAAACATAGAATTGATGTTTTAATTCAAAGTTCTTTTAAAAAGTTTTTTTCAGTGTTTATTTTTGAGAGAGAGGGACAGAGTGTGAGTGGGGGAGGGGCGGGGAGCAAGGGAGACACAGAATCTGAAGCAGGCTCCAGGCTCTGAGCTGTCAGCTCAGAGCCCAACGCGGGGCTCGAACCCACGAACTGTGAGATCATGACCTGAGCCGAAGTTGGACTCTTAACCAACTGAGCCACCGAGGTGTCCCTGATTTAAAGTTCTTTAAAATGATATCCTATGTATGGCTATGAAACAAAATATTGACCTACACAATAATAGTACTCCATCAGAAATGATTTTGAGAAGGGTAGTAAGTTGCTTTTTTATCATATATTGAAACCACTGTTGGATAACCTGACTTCATGTTACTTACAACCCAGACGTGTTACACTGTGCATTTTACTTGATCCCTGGGAAGTGTTCAGCTCAGTTGGCCACTCCTTCACTGAAGCACTCTCTTTTCTAGCCTCTGTGGCACTACCATAGTCTTCTGACTGTCTTTTCTAGGACTTCTTTAACTGTTCTTTCTCAGCCTGCATTGGCTAGCTCCTCCTATACTGAAGGATTTCCTCAGGGCTCAGCCTTCTCTTGCCTTAGTCGACCATATCCATTCTCAAAAGACTTCACTCATAATCCTTATACCTAAAACTCCCTATTTTATTTCACCTTTAGCTCAGAACTCTCCTCTGAGCTCTAGGAATGTATATCCAATTGATAATGTTCAATGACATCTCACTGAGATATCTCAAAAGCAACCTCAAAATTGAACCAATTATCACTCTCCCACTCCAAATTGTTACTTCTTTAGTGTTCTCTGTTTCATTATATGGTACTGCTAACCACCCAAGTGGCTTAATCTAGAAGCCTGGGAGTCATCCGTGGTTCTTCTTTCTTCCTCACTCCCTGTATCCTAGCAGTCCTATTGATTCTCCTCCCCAAATCTTTTTCACATCTATCCATTGCTCATTGCCACCACTGTCTTTTACGTGGACTACTGCAAAACTCTTTCAGTCTCTTAACTGTTAACATTTCTCCCTCAGTTTGTTCTATACGTTGTATCCAGTGGTCTTTTAAAATAGAATAATCTAAACATGACGCTCACTTGATTAAAACCTCCTAGTGCTAATTAATATAATAATGAGAAAACATCTTAGTTTTGTTTTTACACTATCAAAAGCCAAAAAGAAAGAAAAATCCCTACCACCTATTGCTGGTGAGGATGTATGGAAAAAGATATGTTTAAACATTCCTAAAGGAAAGGCATATCATTCCATCTGTTCATGTTAAAAATATTCGTGACCTAACAATCCCATCCTGGGAATCTGCTTCATAGAAATCAAAAGGCCAGCATATGAAGTTGTTTATTGAAATCTTCCTCTTTGTGTTAAAAACTTGAAGCAAACTGAGTATCTATCAATATCAATAGTGGAAAATATGTGAATATCTGAATATCTACCAATATCTATCAATAGTGGAAAATTTTAGTAACACGTTGTACATCCGTATAGGACACATCATGCTATTGAAAATAATTGGGAAGATTTCTAGAAAGAATTAACTGAGAAAAGGAAGATGTTGAGAATTGTCTATGTTATCATTGCTAAGAAGTAGACAAAACTCCTGTGTGTACTTGTATGTATATACTTATATATTTGTACACAAACGCAAATATGGAGAAAAGTCCAGAAACATTCATGTAAGGTCATTAACATGGTTTACTCTCTGGGCAGGAAGGGAAGAGCAGGTTTACAAGGGAAGAGGGTGGTGCACTAAGAATGTACCCAAGCATAAATGATAGCATTCTATTTATATAAAATTAAATATGTGTATGTATACATAAAGAAATTAGGAAAAAAAAAAGAATTAGAGGTTGTAAAAAGCAGGGAGGAAGCTAATTACAGATTAATATGTGTAGTATGATTCTATTTCGGAAATAAACCTCCTATATAAGGTACATATCCTCAAGTACAGAGGTGTAGAGGAATAATATAAGATTGTTAAGGGAAGTGGGAATAGAGGTGGGTGGGAGTTCATTTGCCTTTTTCATTCTTATTTTGTATTTTTCATTTGCTTCAACAAGCATTCATTAATTTTATAAACTGAAAACCACCACTGATAATTTTAAACTGAAAAATCAAACACATGCACATACACACTCCTTCCAATGGTTGTAATCAATGGATTGCTTCAATATAAACAAGGTCCTACAAGTTGCTTATCAACTAGCTATGAAAAAAAACCATTCCTAATGAAACACCATTTATTCTTATTTCATTGTTGGTGTAATTTACTAGTAATGATTTGTAAGCAACACTTAAAGACACCAGAAAGTGTTTTTGAAAGTGTTTTTAAGTTGAAACCTTTTACAGTATAAATAATCCATCTATAAATTTAAATTTTCCATCCTGGTTTCCTTAAAGTGACAGGAATTTTTTCTTTCTTTCTTTTTTTAAAAAAATTTTATTTTATTTTTTTAAAGTAACCTCTACACCCAACATGGGGGTCGAACCCACAATCCCGAGATCAAGAGTTGCATGCTCCATTGACTGAGCCAGCCAGGCGCCCCATGACAAGCATTTCTTATAAACAAGGTTTTTATTTGTCATAAGACAATTACGAATTTAGACTAAATGTTTGAAATAAGCATCAAGAGTTACTTAGCTGATATGTTCAGTCATTAACTCAACAATTTGTTTTGAGTGCTCCCTGTATGTCAGGCACAGTCCTAGGTGGACAAAAGACAACAAAGGTTTCAGCTTCCAGGGAGTCTGCATTCTTGGGCAGTTCTGCTGGTTCCAAAATTTGAGGCTTATAGCAGGAACTATAAACTTTAGAATGGGCCGTAAACGTTATTATGGATAATAATACATATGGATATTTGAATATTTGCAAATAAACGCATTAATGTAAAAATACAATTTGGGGTCCAGCATGGAAGGATGACCTGATGATTCCTGGCCAAAGACTGGCGTGCAAAGAGCTTTATTTGGCTTTCAGTCTGTTTCTTCATGTGCATAATGGGAGTTACAAAACCAACTTCACAGTACTGTGGACTAAGGAAGAAAACGTACATGAATGCCCTTAGAGAGGTGCGGATAGTTGGCCAACAACAGCGACTCAAACGTTGTGAAACAAGGGGGTTTCATGTACATGTTACTGATCATGCCAGCAACTCATCATCACTAAAAGTTAACTAAGGGAGGCCACCCGTGCCCCTTCTTGCTTCATTCCTCCACGCCACGGGGGAGTTCTTTAGGGAAGAGATTTTATTTCGGAGGCTGTGGAGTGGGGAGAGCAGCGTGGGCAGAGTCGCCAGGGCGAAGGGGCCAGAATCCCGAGGTCCCGGGATGGGGGCAGGTGGAGACCACTCAGGGGGCCGGTTGCTCACTCACAGCTGCATCAGGTGGTCCCGGTAACGGCGGCGCTGGCAGGGCAGGGCCCGAGGCCGGCTGGTGTAGGTGTAGGTGTAGGTGCCCATGGCCAAGCGGGTGCGGTCGGTCAGCGTGGAGGCCACGCCCGGGGCCAGGTCGCTCCGCTTCGGGTGAATACCGGCTTTCAAGCAGGTGGGCGCTAAGCGGTCTTGGGAGCCGGAGAGGTGTACGTATTGCCAAGGGCAGGGATTCCCCGACGCAAGGAGAGGCGGCAAGAAGGAAGGCGGCCGGGAAAGGAAGTTGCCAGGACAGGAGGTGGGAGCTACACTCGGCTTGCCCCACGGAACACTGAGCCAGCCTGCGTCTCCCACCGCGGTTGCCCGGCAACCCGGAGTTCCGCCGGGAGGCGGGACCTCCTGGCAGTTCCGGCCGGCGGTTTTCGCGGGAAGGCCCGTTCTCAGGGGAACTTCCGGCTCTTGCCTCCGCATGCGCGCGCGCGCGCGCACGCCTCCCCGGAAGGTGCGTGTGCGGCTTAGGAGCTCTCTCCCGGGCGAGTCGGGCAGGGAGGTGTTGAGGATCTTGGCAGCCACCGCGGCCGTCCTCGTCCCCAGTTTGGAGTCTGGCTTTTCGGCGCCATTCTCCCAGGCCCACGTGCTCCCGTTCCTTAAGGGGTGCCCTCGGCCGTTTCTGCTCCCGTCGCGCCGCTACCTGGCGCCGCTCACCTGTGATCGCACACACGTGGCACCTGGGCTCCCAGCTCTGTTACCTGCCAGGGCCGGGGGAGGGCTTCTTGGCGTCTCCCAGCACCGCCACCCCTGCGCCTCCGGGGTGGGCTGCCGCCGCGCTCCGCAGCCCTGTCTGCATTTCCCGCCTTCCTTCGCCTACCGCTCTGTTGCTAGCACCTCAGAGGGCCCACGGATGCGCGGAGCTGCAGGGGCCGCCCCTCAGACCCCTAATTTTGGCAGAGGGGTGGGTGCTTTGTTGAGTCTTTCTTTTAGGCCTCCTATATCATAATCTGTCAGGCTCCAGACTCTGGAGAACGAAGCATCGTGGGGTGGGGTCTGCGCTTCGAAATGCAGGTGCTTTAGTTTTAGTATGAACAACGTTAAAAATGTTAGAGTTCTTGTATGTGAAGTGTGTGTATCCCCGGCCGATCAGTTATTTGCACGTGCATGTACTCCCTCAGTTCAGCCAAGTGCTGTGCGGATTTGAACTCACGTTCTGCCGTATGCGAGGCCCACGACCTCTGGCAAGTTAATGCTTTTGCGCTTCATTCTCCTGATCTGTAAAATGAGGGTAAGAGAATTTATAAGGGTTTGTCATGAGGATTCAAAGTGTTAATAAGTATAAAATACTTAGAACTGTGCTGGGGAATGATAAGCGGTTATATTGAGATCTAAATTCCTCCTGTACTTTGAAGATTAAGACCGAAAGCTAGTGTAGGTATTGTATAAATAATCCTAACAGAGATGTGTAGGCAGTGCTAGAGGTAAAAACACTGCGTGAAGATTTGAGGTCTGATTACTGAATTTCGTGGTAACTTAGGATAACGATTACAAGAGAAAGTGACATTTTTAGTTGTGTCTGACGGGTGACAGTGTTTTTACTGGTGAAGGTCTTGGGGGGAAGTGCATTCAGAATGGCTTGATCAAAGGCTCAAAAGCCCAAGGGGTCTTTGGAGAACTCTAAGTGAGTAAATACATATGTTTGATAATTCCAAGAGCTAAGGAGAAACCACAGGCCAGGAGGTGTCAGAGGTGGAGGGGGACCTAGAGATTTCAGATTGGTCCGGGAAGGCTTCACTGAGAAGGGAGCCTTTGAATAAAGATGTGAAGGAGGTGAAGCCGTGAAACTGGGGACTAACATTCCAAGACGCAGTCAGTGCCAAGTTCTAAGGCACATACAAACCAGGTGTGTTCAAGGATAAGAGTAAGGAGGCTAGGGTGGGTGGAGCAGAGGAGAGCATCAGGAGATGACGTCAGAGGTAATGAGTTCAGATCTTTGTGCCTTGTAGGTCAGCATAAAGATGAACTTTTATTCTGAGGTTAAAAGCCCCAGAGGGTTTTGATTATTGGGACATAATTTAAATTTTTTTTTTTTTTAAAGCATTTCTATTCTAGCTGCTGGGTTGAGAATAGGCTGAAGTGGGGCAAAGAGAAGCAGAGTACCAGTAAGGCTGGCTGAGAAAGCGGTTTGGATCAGGGACCAGGCAATGGAGGGGTGAGATGTGGTCAGAGAGATCCTGAATCTGTTTTGAAAGTAGAAACAGATGGAGTAGAAATGGGGCATTAGACCAAAGAGGAACCAGTTAGTGATGCTGAAGAGGCAGGAAATGGGAGCCTCCCCAAGAAAAGGAGGAGATTCTCTTCCAAGGAGGAGCCACTCAGCAGTGGGCTGGAAGGGGCTGCTTTCAGCAAGAGCAGGAGCTCCAAGAACAAGAAAAGGCTCCAGAAGTTATCCCAGGAAGACTAGATTGGACCTTTACCTGGTGGGGCATAACCCACAAGACAGTTCCTAATCCATCCCTTATGTCCCAATGAAAAATTCACAAGAAAACAAAAAAAAAAAAAAAAAAAAAAAAAAAAAAAAAAAAAAAAAAAAAAGAAATTGGGCAGTAGAGAAAGAAAGGAGTTAAAGATCATGCTAAAATTTATGACTAAATGTTGAAGATTGTGTAGAAAAAATTGCAGAGGTGCTCCGGCAGATGTACTCTTTTTCTAGAGGATGTAATTTTATTCCAGCTCCCAATTAGAGTAGGAGCAGATGACTTTTAATCAAGAATTCAGGCTTTAGGAGGGCTGATTACTTTCTGGTTTGCCCTTATCCCAGAGCACAGGCCTTTAGGAATCTCAACAGAAAGCCTGGGGTGTTCAACAGGTCCCCATCTTTGGGGGCCCTTGAACTCTCATTTTTGTGTTCCCAACTCTGTGAAGTTATTGAAAAGTCTGCTTACCATTTTAGCCACTGCAGCGCCTTTGTTTCTTGATTTCTAGTGTCCTTGCAGCTTGGAATTTAGCAAATGCCGATAAAAACCAAACAAATTGTCAGGCTTACTTCTCTGTGATCCACCTTCGTCGGGGTCTTGTCCCTTCAAGTTCTGTCTGCATTTCTCAGCTCTAATTTCTATCTCCCTAGATCTGACATCGCTAGACCATTGCTTTCTGCTTGCCTGTAAATGCCCTTCTCTGGAACTCTGTAAATGCCCTGGAAGAAAAGCAATGGAGAAGTTCCGTGTCCCTGTGTATTTTCTTCCTGGGATCCCAATCCCTCATGTCCACTGGTTTGGTTATTCTCTAGGGCCTTCACACAACCTGTGTGGTTTTTGTTTTTGTTTTTATTTTCAGCTTTTACAGTTATTCCTGTAGGAGAGTTGTCTCATTCAAGTTACTACTCAGTCCTAGGCAGAAGCTATGCCAAGAATGGAGTTTCTGTTTACTAATACAGGGAACACTGGGAAAGAGCAGGTTTTGGAGGAACTTCTAGGCACATTAAGCTTGAAAAGCATGTTAGTCATCCAAGTGGAGATATTGAGTAGACAGTTTGACATGGGAGTCGGGCTTCAGGGGGATTGGTCAAGAGTAGAGAGGGATTTTTGGGTTGATGGCATAAAGATGATATTTAAAGCCATGCGACTTGATGAGATTGCTGAGTGGAGAGAGAAGACAGATGAGCCCTTGAATGTAGTTAGAGGCTGGAAATGTGAAAAATAACTAACAAAGGATACTGGAAAAAGATGGTCAGAGAGATGGAAGAAATTGCAGAAAGTCTGGTCACCAGGAATCAAGTGAAGAAAGTGTTTCTTTTTTTTTTTTTAAAGTTTATTTATTTTGAGAAAGAGAGAGTACGTGGGAGAGGGAGAGAGAGAATCTGAAGCAGGCTCCATGCTCTCAGTGCAGAGCCTGATGTGGGGCTCCGTCCCATGACCCGTGAGATCATGACCTGAGCCGAAACCATGAGTTGGACGCTTAACCCACTGAGCCACCCAGGTGCCCCAAAAAAGTGTTTCAAGGAGAAGTAAGTATGGCTAATGCAATTTGTGGCTCAAGCAAGCTGTAAACATTGGGTCTGGCAACATAGAGATCATTGGTGACTAAGCAAAGGGTGCTTGTGATGGAGTTAGGGGGGAGAAAGTTCAGTTCCGTATTTTGAAGAGAGTGGGAAGAGAGAGAGTGACTCAGGGAGGTTTGCTGCAAAGGAAAAGAAAGAACCAGGGTGGTAGCCAGAGAGAAATTGGGCCAAGAGAAAGTTTTATATTTTTTAATGGGAGAGTTGACAGTGTATATGGGTGCTCATAGGAGTGACTAGAGAGGGCAGAATGGACTATGGAGGGCCGAGAGCCAAGAATTGATGGGCTGATGTAGGCCAGAAAAAATGGGTTCTTGTGCACAGTTAGAAGGGTTGGCCTTGCCTAGAATCATGCACGTTTCATCCATTATAATAGGAGAAAAGGTAGACATGACCACAGATGTACCCTGGATGCAGGTAGGTACATAATTTCAAATCCCTTAATAATTAATAGGTGTTGCTGATAAAGCAGTCACTGCACTAAGCACTTTACATATATGATTTCACTTAGTTCTTACAATGACCCTGTGAGGTAGGTTCTCATATTATTTTTACTTATAAGGGGACCAAAGCTTGAAGGGGTTAAAGTAACTTACAGAGTCATACAGCAAGTAAGTGACAACACAGATTTAAACCCTTATCTGCCAGATTCTAGAACCTATACACTGAAGTATCAACATATGATGTTCATTATCTTCCTACACTTAATCATCTCTTGCTATGTTCTTTCCCCCACTGTGTCTCATTCTCCGTATCCCCAATAATCACCAAGCCCCGCCCATTTTACCTCCTAAATTGTCTTGATTCTGAGACCTCTTCTTTGCATCCCTACTGTTTATACTAGCCTTGACCTGATCCAGACAGCCTGAGCTGGCTCTTCTGTGCAACCACAAAATGTAACTGAAGTGCATCTCTGATCCTGCCAGCTCCCTCCTCAAACATTTCTGTAACCACTTTGCCCTGTGAGTTCAAGCTCCGTAAACGTGCTGTAGGCTCTTCTCTACCTGGTTACTGCCTCATTTTCCTAGCTCAGATCTCGCTGGTTTCTCCTTGTGCTTTTTCCCCCAGAGTAGCTGAACCTTTGCAGTCCTGCTGTGCTGACTTTGTGTGTTCTGCCTCTATGATTTATACTTTCCCTTTATCCCTTCTGGTCGATTTTCTGCTCATCCTTTAAGCCACAGCTCCAGTCTTTTTCTCCACAAACACATTTCTGATGCCTCTAACTGGGGCTTACGTAGTCCTTGATCCTCTTTCCATCTTTTATTTGCCACATGGCTTTTATAACAACTTGTCACCATGTTTGCCTCCACAACTAGACCACAAGTTTCTTGAGCATAGGAATTGGGTCCTATTCATGTCTTTGGCCCTACCACATGGCTTAACGTTTGCCTCTAATAGTTTATTGAGTGAACAAATGAATGAGTGAATAGCACACGTGCAGGGTTTATCCAAGGAAGAGAAGAGGGAGCCTCTCTGTTTAGAGTGTGAAAATGAGTTGAATGGCCATAGTTTTTGAACTATTTCTAAGCATAGTAAGAGAGTGTGAGAGAGAACCTATGACAGCTCTTATTTAACAAATATCAAGCACCTTCCATGTTCTAGGCACTTCAGTAAGATCTAGGGACAGATGGGGCTTACATTCTAGTGAAGGGAAACATAGTAGGCAAATGAATTGAAAAAGAAAGAAAAAAGTTTCATAGAACGATAAAAGCTGCGATGAAAACACGACAGGATGTTAGGTAGGATGGGGGTACCTAAGCAGCCCTTTTACCCCAACTGCAGAGAAAGGCTGCAAAGGC